TACTGTGGTTGTTTCAGGTTAATCACTCTATTAATGTCCTGAAACCTGCTGAACTGCAGTTTTATTACACGGAGCCCAAATGTGGCTCTCATGCCCCAGCCCATAGCGCAGTGGGGCAGATGACTGCAGCCTCTGCACTAGCAGCTCTGTAACACAGCAAACCAAATGGCCTTGGACTTGTTCGGTGGTGGCCAGCTGCTGGAGAACTCATCTTGGCAACAGAAGGCTTGATGTTGGGCGAAGCATGAAGCTGATGGATGAGGTGGTGGAAAAAGAGATTGATTTTATTTTTCCCTGCAGCTAAGAGCTGTCTGGCAAATTGCAATGGAAAAAAGTGGGATGGCGCAGGGTTTTGATCTGGGGAGGGAAGAGCAGTAAGAGAACAAGGGGGTAATTCAGGTAAACGGGGTAGACTTGATTCTGCAGTGAACTGTGCCTTTGATAACTGTGAGTCAAAAATGGGTATACAGTACTGGCAAAGCAGACCAGCAGCCTTTGGGTCTTGTTTGGCAGAAACATCAGGACCACAGCAAGGTGTGATGGCTGTCAGTTTATTTCTGTCCTTTTCCCATAGCCCCACACGAGTGGATGGGTCCAGTAAGCACCAGGGTATAGAGCTCAGATTTTCAAAGGCATTTAGACTAAATATAGAAATTGGTTATTAAGATTTTTCCATGAATGTTGTAAACAAATTAGTTCCACTAGGTAGCTATCTGCATGCATAGGTGCTTATACCTCTGAAAAACCTTACTTGAGGAGCTATTTGTTGTCTGTCTTCAGGCTCCAAACTCTGCTGAGCTGGGAGTGAGGACAGTTCCCCACCCTGGAGGAATTTGGAGCATTTGGTTGAACTTCTGCAGCAAAGGGTCTATCGCTCCACTGACTCTTTCTGGAGAAAATCTGCTTCATTTAGCAGGCAGGAGTCCTGTAGCTGCCTGATGTGAGCAGTCCCGTGAGGAACCTGCACATCAGCAACTCTTGTTATACATCTCATTGAGCCCCAGAGGCAAGCAGGGTATTTGCTAGAGCCCTGGACGGTGTCACTTGGATGCTTTCCAGCATCACTTCTTTTTGAACGAGTGTTTGGGAAGGATACCCCATCACTCACATCATCTTCCCTCATGGCCTAGCAATACACCAGCTCTCCACCACTGCTTGAAGCTGGTTGGCATCACTGCTGCATTGTTTTGTTATTGTCATATTTTTTTCCATTTCTCTAGAGCCTATGATAAGAATGAAAATTAAACTGAGTCCTCAGACTTTTTTGATATTTCCAAGCAATATTGATAATGAGTCTTCTACGGCGGTGTATAATTTATTCAAACATCTCTCAAAGCACTAAACAGTCTACATATGCAGGGAGTATTTAATTCATCACTGAAATTCAGCCACCTGAAAGCAGTGACTGTACCACGGTACACAATGACATTACTCAGCGGTTTGGGGCAGAGAAAGCTGCACAGAAAAGCCAAGAGATCTCTTATGGTAGGGAAAACAATATTGAACTGTGTGTTTTCTCCCAGTGGAGCAGGAGTAATGTTCTTGTTCTTGCAGAAGCTGATGAAGAACCGTTCGTTGCCTTCAGCAGTCAAAGCTTCGGTGCTACCCATTACAGGAGAAGCTACTTATTAGTGTAGGAGAGGACCTGGTTTGTTCTGCTGTCATATCTAAGAATTCTGTTCCAGACAGCCCATACGCTGTGTGGATGTGGCTGAGTCGATGACAGCCAGCACAGCTGTGCTCCCTGATGCGGGGACCCCCTGTGAGCCCACAGACCAGCAGCTGGTCACTCGGACACAACAGCCCCATGGGGAGCATTCAGTCACTCATCAAACAATGGATTAAACTTTCCAGACACATCCCTTGCAAAAGACACTTGACCTCTGATTAACAATGGACACCAGTAAATGTCAAGGAAATACTAATGAAGATTTCTTTTGGCACCCAAGGAATTAATAAAGTGTACTGACATTTCATCACAACAGAAGAATACATAAACAGAGTTGCCAGCTGCCCTGACTCTTATGAATAGATTCTGATTTATGTGAAACGGAGACCTCGGTTTGTTGCTATAGATGGTGAGACAAGGGTGGATTTGTGATGGAGCCCTCCAGGAGAAGCTGGGGCACTGCTGGGACCTGCTCCTTGGTACTGTGCTACAAAAGCAGCGGGTTAGTGCTGGGGGAACATGTCCACCAGTGGGGTCTGTCTGCGGGAGCCCCGCAGAAGGGGCTGCAGCACAGCTTGGTGCTATGATGATGTGGCCGTGGGAGAGAGTAACCCAGGGGAGTACTCTGCTGATGAAGTGCAGCTCAGGGAGCCTCCAGGCTGCCTGGCAAACCATTGAAACCAGCCTAGCAGCACCCCAAAGCAGCATGTTTATGCCAGAGAAAGATAATAAGAATTGACACCAGAAGTATGGCTTCCTGAAACTGCTTTTGAAAAGATCAATTCTTACAATATCAACATAAGTCCATTCTTGTCCTGTAATTCCATCACTGCAATCAGGTTACTCCAGGTTTTAAATTGCCATGGATCACAAGAAACCCCACAAGAAAAATGAAAGATTCTTTCTTATTTTAAGATATTTGGGCCAAATTCTTGGTGTAAGTCAGGTACAGTCAAGCAGTACTGATGTGTGCAGTTAACAGTTTTGTTGACTTTTTTCTATGTAAATTTTACTGCTGTGTTGTGCTTAGATTTCCAACACTCAGTTTATAAATTTAAAGTATCCCTCCAAACTATGAATTCTAATTAATTATTATTCATTGGTAGTCTTTTAATGATCAACCAATGATCATTTATCAACAACCAACAGCTGCATCATCTCAATGCCTCAAAGTGATTTGTGTTAATGAATTAAACCTCAGAAGAGAGAAACCAGTTCAGTTCCCAGGCATTCAACACAAAACCTTTTTAGAAGAATAGACAATTGCACAGCATAACAGTTTAAGTAGGGGAATGGAGAATAATAACGTATCCAATTGAAAGTGCAGGGGAATTTAGAGAGGAAAAATGTAATTACCTGATCTGGAAAGAAGCCAGACACAATGTTTAAAATCTCATTCTTAGGAAATGTGTCTTGGAATCCTTAATGACTGCAGGATCATAAGACATGGCACGTGTTTTCTGTGCTTGGAAACTAAAAGAAAAACAAAGGAAATCTGTTTTTTTTTTTCTTCCTGATTCCAGAAACGTCCTTTGATATTTCAGAAACCAGTGTAACACATGCATGGAGTTAAGGCCCAGTGTAGAACAAGAGCAGAAAAATAAAAGACACAACTCCAAAATGAAAATCAGTTTTCAACACTTGCAAGAAAATAAAAAAGCTTTTGGAAAATGAAAATTAATTAAGAAATGTGTTTAATTTAACTTCCATTAATGTGATCTGTGGAAACAGCCAAAGAAAACTATCAAGCTCTGCAGGATAGTCCTCCCTTTCTAGCAAGGGCCAGCATGTGAGCTGTGAGCCACCCCCCTGGCTCAGCACACCTCCTGTACTCCTTGGGCATCGGGACAGTTCAGATCCCAACAGACTCCACATATGGAGATGATATTTCTAAAATACTAAACTCTTCATGTTGCTTAAATACCTTAGTGTGTTTATCTAGCCAAAGAGGTTGGAGCCTCTGCACGGCAGGGTGAGGGGAAAGGCAGAGAGCGGGCAGGGTTCATGTGCTTTGAGTTATCTGCCAGCCCAGCCCAGGCAGAGCAGCACAAGGGGAAGTAGTTTTGTGCCAGAAAGATTTTAGCAATTTATTTTCCCATGTTAGAGAGCAGGACTAGCCCTAGCCTTCTAAAGATGTTATTTCTGCAGTCTTCATTGAATGTGAGGTACATGAAATTTAGGATTAGTCAAGTTTACAGTATTAAGAAATTGGCACTGGACAAATAATGGGATGCAAGTATCAGTTTCAGCAATAGCCGCTTACTCTGTAATAGTGAGTGACAAGCTCATGTGCAATGAATCTGGGGGAATAAAAGCCAAATTCAGAAGTACTTGTGACACTAATTAATTATAAAACCATTGCTGATAGAATCTAAGCTGTACAAGCAATTCTCTTATTCATGCAAATGCAGGTTTGAGGATTGGAAATTTTTTTTGCATCAAGTGAGAAGTCATTTTTCAAAACTTTAAGTGAAAAGTTGATCAAACAGCTTTTAGGTTCACACGCGTTTCATGTGACACACCATGAGGTTTTAATTAGCTTTGAGCAATCTTAAACTAAAAAGCAACACAACCAAACAAAAGGTTATTTTAAAAACAAACTATCATTGCCTCATCTGTTAACCATCAAAATGAAATCGCTGAAAACTCATCGAATGTTTTTGGTCAGCTGTACTTTGGAAGGGACTTTTGTCTGAAAATTTCATGCAATCATAGCCAGGATATTTCTGGGGGCAGAAAAGGGCATCGTTATCATCATCTCTGAGACAGAAGCAGCGACTCTGAAAGCTGCAATCACCCTGGAGGAAAATAACACCCTGGTGATCACTGTGACTTCAGGGGAGAGCCAGGCCTGTTTTGGTCCCTTCACTGAAAACCTGGCTTGATGTGTTAACATCACCTTCAGAGCATCCTGCTGCGGGGGTAATTTGTGGGTTCAGCTCAAGTGCTTTAATTAGCAGCAGATGACATCCCTGAAAAAATGGCAGCAGCTAATGAGGATAGCAAGTTTCTAGATGGGAACGGGATGAAGACATCATCTGAGGGCTGTGGGAATCAGTGGGTCAGTTTAATTAATTTGGTGGCATTCGCAGAGATCTGAGGTGGCTCCTTGGATTCAGAGCCAGATTTTTGGGCCATTTCTTCCATAAAACAGCTTGGATGTGGCCCAGCTGAACCCATCACCTCTCAAGTTGCTGTGGCACGTTTTGAATCGGCCCTGCATTTTCTGTCCTTTCCTTCCTGCACTTACCCATAATCAGCACAGCTCCCGAACTGCACCCCCTTGGCCAAACCCGCCCCGTTTGTCACAGGTGACTCAGGACCAGATTTGCTGGGTTGTCCTTCTGCCAGCACGGTGCCATGCTGCGATGGGACCAGCAGACGCCTGCTCACTCCTTTGCGCCCAGCGGCTGTTCCTGCTCCCTGTGCGTGAGCCGCCAGGCCCCAGGCTCGCTTCAAAACCCAGATTTATGATTAAAGCTCTTGTCCCCATCTTTCCTTTTGTCTTTCCTTTAGTGAAGCAAATACAACACTCGGTGGACAGGCCTGCTAAGCCCGTTTAGTTAATCTCTGGGCCCAGATGAAGGTCACCCTGCCAAACACTCATAATTCAGCACTATAAATATGCCTTTGATTCATTGTCTTCTGTCCCTTCCATCATGGGGGACGAAAGAGGCGTACCAGCAGCCTCTCGTTCTTCCCTGCGGCGACGTGAGACACTGTCACAGCTCTGGTGCTTCGTCAGAGCAGTATTATTCAGCAATAATTGTAATTTACGCTCTGAAAGTGTCCGGGGAGCTGCATTGAGGGCTTTAAATTGTCCCTGGGACATGACAGCCAAGGGTTGGGGTTGAAGGTGGTGTGTCCGGAGGGGCCCAGCTCCCCGGGAGCCCCTGGAGAAGCTGCTCCCGAGTGATTACAAACCTCTTTGTGCTCAGGGGTGAGACCCCACGTCCCACGGCCCGCAGGGGCCCAAAGCCTCCCGCAGGGGAGCCTGGCGCTGCGGCAGTGGGCATTCTGACTTTGCTGCAAGGCCAGTGATTAAAAAACCCCATAAAATAAACACAAATGAGTGCCATCCGTAGCCGTGCTGAAGGGCTTTACGGGGGGCTCCCTTCACATTTCCAACCCGTTCTCTGGCCGGGGGACACCGACTCCGCCCCACAGGCCGCGCGGGAAACGCGCCTCGCCCCGGGCCCTGCCG